CTTCTGGCTGTTCTCCTTTGTCGACCCACTGCCGCTTCCTCACAGGGACCCACTTCTCATCTCCAGTGATCATCGAGTTGAGAAGTGAAGCCTCTTTTGGAAAGTGAGGAGAGAAGTGCAGGTGGTCACCCTCCTCGAGGTCATAAGCGGACAGTTCATGTGGGACCCATCGACCAAGCTTTGCTACCTTGCCGAGCTTTTCTAGTCCACGTGCAACCGTCGAATGATCATAGCTAAGCATGGTCGCCATTTCTCTGGTGGTGAGTACGGGTCCTCCTCCACGGTGGAACGTAGTACTTCCAAATCCAACTCCATCGGCCGACCCGACCTCGGAGCATCTTCGAGAGAAAAGTCTCCTTTCTTGAATTTGGCGAACCAATTCTTGCATGTCATGTAAGAGATGACGTCCTCACCGTATGTATCCACCAGCTTGGTATGGGCTTCCTTTGCATTCCAGCCGAAATCGTGGAGCAAAACCAAACAGTGGCGCAGGTACGTTTTGTCACAGTGCAAATTGTGCGACATTGTGTACTGCAAATGCAAGCTCGGTGAGTGATAGCTAGTGTAATGAAAGAGTATAATGTACACGTCACGCACACGTGATGACGTAATACCAACATCCATGCGAACGAAATAGGAGAGGATCAAACACGTGTATAAGAACTTATGCGACAACCTAATAGATACGCTGCTTCCCCTCGCCCGCTCGAACCGGAAAAATTGCGCTAGGAAGCTGGGAGCTTGTAGGAAAGTGGTATCGTTGTTGGCGGAGAGGGGGGGGGGGATCGTACTAGCACCACCATTTCACACATCACGATGCTGTACCCTGCGCACAGATCATGACTGTGTGTGATCAAAGCAGATTTCCAGTAGAAATCGTTGAGAAGCGACTTCTTGCTGTTTGAAGTAAGAGCTATCTGTGAACGTATCCTTATTCGAATGGGGAGCAGGCTGGGGGCATTCCTGGAGCTCTTTGACATATCTGGCAATTTTCGGCGAGCCACATTAGAGGGCACTTTGTGTTATCGCCTCTTGATCGTATCCACTACAATCGTTTCCAAATGTTAGGGTGACCGATACGACCGGTGGTCCTGGTCGCACCTCGAGGGGCGTGTATTACGGAGTGGGCGGGATTTATAGGTGTGATAAATACCTTGGACACTTACAATTGGAAAGTTCTCAGTCACCCCTTTGAAGGATTGCTATCGACTCTCATGAAAGGGTCCTCATCTGATTCACTGTAATCGAATCTCAGCTACACGTCTTATCCAGGAAATAAGGAGGGCGTGGCTGCGTACTTGGTTTGTATATGGCGTAAGATACGCTTCTTATAGGATACTGCCGTTTGAGACAACTGTTATCCTGTCTTGTGCTGGCTAAAGGCATCATTAAAATTGCCCCAAAATGGGAGCATGCCTTCAGAAGCATCCATCATATTCAGGTAGCGTACGCAGCCACGCCAACCTCTTTCCCAAAATATCGGGTGTAGTCAGTAAAAACAAGATGACTTTGACTGTTTGCTTTCAACCAAATTGCTTTTAGATAGCTCCGAAAATCAAAGCTCGAATGATGGAGCGTGGTACGACGATGGTCGGCTATCAACCAGACAAGCAACGACCGAATTTCTTCCGAATGATCATTTCCAGCCAAGCGATCACCAGAGACGATCTGGATTTTCTTATTCAAGAAATCGTTGATCTTGGGGAATCACTTTAGATACTTTGAACTTGTTAATCGTTGAGACTGATGAAAGTAGCAGTTAGATTAGGGTGATTAAAGTTCAATGATCGTGTGGGTGGAGTTACTTTGCAATCCACCGCTTTGCCATCTCGGAAAGTGGCTCGTCTGCGAGATGTCAAAGCGGCTCCACCCAT